GCGGGGCGGGCTCGCGGCGGGGTCGGTGCGGCCCGGGCGGGAACCATGGGGCGGGCAGGGCTGACCGCGCMGCTCCCGTCCCACAGGTATGGACGATGGGTTTCTCATGGAGGTGTGCGTGGACTCGGTGGAGTCCGCCGTCAACGCGGAGCGCGGAGGTGAGTCCGGGGGGCCTGGCGGGAGGGGGCGGCACGGCGGCGGGTCCCGTTCTGACGCGCCTCTCTGCAGGAGCTGGGCGGATCGAGCTGTGCGCGGGCCTCGTGGAAGGAGGGACCACCCCGAGCATGGGTGAGCCGCGCCCGCCCCTGGGCTGCCTTCCCTCTCTGCCTCCCCTCGCTCCCTCCGTCCCGCCCGTCCCGTTGTGCCGGCCCGGGGCCGCGGCGGTGCTGAGCCGCCCCTGTCCCGTCCGCAGGGCTGCTGCAGGTGGTGAAGCAGTGCGTGCGGGTCCCGGTGTTCGTCATGATCCGGCCCCGCGGCGGGGATTTCCTCTACTCGGACCGGGAGGTGGAGGTGATGAAAGCCGATATCCGSCTGGCCAAGCTGCACGGCGCTGACGGGCTGGTGTTCGGGGCCCTCACCGAGGACGGGCGCATCGACACGGAGCTCTGCACGGCGCTGCTGGGTGAGGCTCTTCCAGGCAGGGCTCTGTGCTGTGGCAGCGTTGAGGTGCTACTCCGGCTGATGCCATAGAAGTGCACAGAGGGCTTTGGTCCGCACATCCTGTCTGGGTCTTGCTGTCTCTTTCCACCTTCTCCGGTTTCATTTGCTGCTATACTTGGGAGACATAAAGTAGTTAARAAACTTTGTAGACCAAGGGTCACAACCCCAAGCCATTCACACAGAGTTTGAGGCCACCTGAGAAGTAATGACAAAGTGTAAGAAGGCTTAGTTGAACTGCTTTGGGGTCATTAAACTGTTGGATCCTCTCCCTTCCTCATTTTATTTGCCCTTTGTTCCTTTCCTTATGTCCTTGCTACAGCTGTCTTGGATATGTATCTGCTTGACTTTGGCTTTGTGTGTAGCTAGCAATACATCTTAATTTTTTTTCTTAACACACACATGGAGAAAAGATAATTAGAGAGTGGGGTGAATATATAAAAAGCTACTGAAGCTACAGTGGGAAATAGTTAGTCCAGACCACAAATATGCAGAAGCAAATTCTTTCTTTCTACATCTTTTTTGGGAGCTACAGCCAAAGCTAAAGAGGGCTGAGCTTTTCTCTGCTGATGTGGTGCTGAGGTTCTCATATGAAGGTGAATRTTCTGTAAGGAGTGCAGCAAAAGAAAGGGTCTTGCCAGGACTTAGCTCTGCTAGGCAATGTGTACTCTGCTGTTCCCAGGGCAGGAAGCAGGTGGACATATTTTTGTAGAAATAAATAAGCTTTGCACAGTAAATAGAGCACCACTGGTGAATTTTGCTGTGGTCTGAGAGCAGRAACTGTAGGTAGTGAAAGAAATCTYAAAAATCAGCTCTCCTGCTTTCAAAGAGCAGTGGTCTTGTCCTTTGCCCAGGTAGATGATCCAACTTCCCTGCTTCCTTCCTGCAGAGAAGGACACCTCTGGTGGGAATAAGGGTTTTGCATGTTCCAGATGAGATGGGAGATTTTGCTGTCACCCATAAAAACAAAGGTTGCTTTCTCAAAAAGCAGAAGGACTCTTCCCCGTGAAARAGCCTAGACAAACAGCAGCCACTGCATTGTTACCAGCAAGAGTGGGGACTCTTCTGAGCTCCCCAGGAAAGGCTTGAGAAGTTTATCCTCTTCCATGTCACTTACATTTCTGGTTCTAGCACAAGGAACTCTGTACCATTTGTGACTGACCATATGTTTCTTTTGCAGCGGTGTGCCGTCCCCTGCCAGTCACATTTCACCGCGGTGAGTTGCCAGGGACAGTGGTCCTGGGCAGGGACCAGTCTGTGCCCCACTGCCGGGGAATGGTGGGACTGGGAGGGCACTGAGCCTAATGTTCTTTGGTGATTCTTTGGAGGGGGAAAGCTCTGCAGGCTCTGCCATTCCCACACGAGGAAAAAGGTCCAGGGGGTTCAGGTTTGGGTGCTCTCTCATTGCCCTGTAAGAGAGGAGATGTCTGAGGAGCTGAGTAGGGTGGCCCTGGCACTGCAGCAAGGGGAGTGTTACAGTCAGAAGCTGTGAATCCCGTGGGGGTGGTCAGCTGTGAGCAGGACCCTTCCTGTCCTTACCTTTGGGTTCCTTGGGTTCCTGAGCTGGCTGAGGGACAGAGGTGAGCACAATGAGCCAAGTGATTTCTGAACTCTTTTTCTGTTCCCTCAGCCTTTGACATGGTGCATGACCCTCTGGTGGCACTGGAGACCCTGATTTCCCTGGGGTTTGAGCGGGTRTTGACGAGTGGCTGTGACAGCTCAGCACTGGAAGGATTGTCCTTGATTAAGAGGCTTGCAGAGCAGGTGAGTGTTTGCTGTGCTCCTCTGGGTTACTGTGGCTGCTCCCTTGGCATTGCCTGGAGGCAGCTCCTTTAGGGTATCCCTCATTTGTGGAGGGGGACTTTGGTCAAGGAGTGCTTGCCTGACCTCTCTAGCTTGGCTTTAATCTGTTTTCCTAAGTCCATGTGGGCTGGGTTGTTCTTGAATGCGGACTGGGGGACGGTGGTAGGAGTTGGTTTCAACAGCTGATGTGATGAGCCCACGAAATCAGCAGAGGGAAATCCCTTCTGAGTGTCTCACAGTTCCTGTTAGGAAAATGCAAGAGGTGTCCCTGAGAGGTAGCCAGGTGGGATGGAGAGGTAGGGGGAAATGGTGACAAGCTGTCTTAGCTGCAACTGCAAGTTCTTTTCCAATTTTCCTTGTAAAACATTAATAGTACAAAAAAGACAGGTGCAAGCACACAAATTGTACACCATGGTGACGTCCATGAGCCTATGGAAAGTGCTGCATGTGAGGTTTCTGTGCTGCCTCACAAATGCACATSTGGATGTAGTGCTCAGCCATATCACTGACATGTTGTTCTTCTTTCAGGCAAAGGGCAGAATTGTGGTGGTGCCAGGTAAGGGGTTTTTGTCATCTGTACTGGGTCCTACAATCCCTAGCCCTTCCTTCCTAGCCTCTTGCCCTGGGATCCACTCTCTGAYCTTGCTTTCTGAGCCAGCTGCCCAGGAAAAGCAACTCCTGTCCTGGTGTGAGTAAAGGCCACTGCAGCCTGTTAGGGTGGGCAGAGCCCTGCAGCTGCTGCTCGCTACAGGATTTGGGGACAGCTCTAGATCTGTGGTAGAACATGAGCCAAAGCTTCTCCTGTCTGTTTTCATGTGCCTGGGACTCTGTTGCTCCAAGGGCTGTTTTTCCCCTTCAGTGTATATGTCACCAGTCCCTTAGTGGTGAGGTCCCAGGGTGATGTCAGGTCGGGAATAATGTCATCTGCTTGGTATGTGACATCGGGCTTGTTCCCACCAGGAGGTGGCATYACGGAGCGAAACCTGCAGAGGATTCTGGAAGGCTCTACTGCCTCTGAGTTTCACTGCTCTGCTCGCTCAGCTCGGGACTCAGGGATGAAGTTCAGGTAACTGATTATTTATGTTTATTTTTTAGTGGAACTCTACAAGGGAAAGGYTATGTGAATGTGAACATGAGTTTGTAAAACTGGCAAAAATTTCAAACAGCTTCCTCTGATTCCCTGCAGAATCAGATGCTTGAGGCATTTCACTTGCTACTGTCACCCTAGGAGTTGTGAGGGCACTTGGAAATGCAGCTTATGTTTACCATAAGCTTGTAGGATTTGGGAAGCCAGGGGGATGTGCTTCTGAGAATGAGCAAGGAATGGGTTATATTTGTCCATAGGTCTGCATTCCTTTGGATCATTGTTCTTTCTATTATTGTCCCATCTTCAGTTTGATTGKCACCATCTTTGGCCAATGCTGAGACTAGGGGAAATATGGGTGTGTTTTTTTGCCGGGTCTGGCTGATCTGTATCACCAGCAGATCACTGCTAATCACTGGTTTTCCTGACAGAAATCCGAACGTTGCCATGGGAGCGTCCTTCTCTGCCCCCGAGTACTCCATAAAGGTGGCAGATGTGGCCAAAGTGAGGACCCTGAACGCCATTGCCAAGAACATTCTGTAGGCACCGTGCAGGGACAAGAACGCTGAGGCTCCAGGGTCTGCCCTGGCACATGGACAGATGGGTACTGCTTCCGTCCTCAGGCTGCAGAGGATGTGCACTAGGTGATGAAGCCTGACACCTCTTCCCTTGGCTTCCCCTGAAGTCCCTGGCCTGGAAACTTATGTTGGCCGTTTTAAATAAAAGGACTCGTTCCCAGATGTTGCAGCAACAGCTGTTTGGCAGCATTTGGGAGGAAGGGAGTTGAGCAAGTTGGGGGACTGAATTGTGTAGCACTGCATGTGATTGTCAAATAAACACTGCAGCTGCCCCCCTCTTGCTGTCTAAAGTTTATTTATATTTTCAGGTAAGACCGTGACCTGTGTTGCATAGCCTGAATTAATCAGGCTCCTCCTGTGCCAGGGAATACAACCACATCCAGAATACCAGCATGGGAAACATCATAGCCACAAGCGGGAAACAAGGCTGGCTGTGGTCAGCCAGTGGATAGGTGGGGATTAGCAATGCAGCAACTGTAAGTAGAGAGCAGCACCTGACTTGATGAGGTGAGGAAGCTGTGAGACATCATGGGCTGTGGGCCCTCTGTGCTTGAGGTGGTGTTGGTGTATGATGARTTCCTTGGGAGGACAAGGTGCTTTTCCTAAGGGAGTTTACAGGTCCTTGTCCCAACATGAAGCATGAACTGCTTCTTCTCCAGACAGTGCTYGAGGAATGCACCTGTTGGGTCATTGCTGCCTAGTCAAAATCGAAGCCTCAGATTTGTTTCAGTTAATCTTTAAAATACCCAATGAAAGATTTGAATGGCATCAGAGTGGTCCATTAGAAGAGTAGAGACCCAAAGGTAAAGCACCTTTTTATTYTTGCTGTGTGCTCTTCTGTATAAGATCACAAAGCTGAAGAGAATCTCTGACAGCAGGGCAGCCTTAGGAAGCAAAAGCAGGGTACAGATTTCCCATCTTGGCAATCACAGCCTGTGAGGATGTATGGAAAAAATGTGATATTTGAAAAGGTGGCAGCACCTTTGTCACCCTAAATAGAATCACATCATTGRAAACCTGTCATCAAGACCACATATTTTCACCTTAAAGGGTACATCCACCTTTTCACATGGAGCTGTCAGAGGTATTGGTGTCTCTCAAAACACCTTGGGAACTTCAATTCTTAAGGGAGGAGCTGGGAAGGGAATGACTGCATAGTGCTGGTGTCAGAGCTTGCTTCAGCACTGACAGATGTGCGAGCAGTAGGAAGGATCCAAAGAATCCTTGCAAAGAGTGATTAAATTTGTCAATATAATCTGAATTGGACCTGGTTTAAGAGTTTATGGCTTATGTTGTGAGATTTCATGAGTCATGGGCATGATTATGATACTGGTAGCTCAATTAAGATGWATATTCTGCTGACCCAGCTTCCTCAGATTTTTGAACTCACATGGGGCTATGGCATGACAAAGCAGAGAAACAAACTCTTCAGAGAAGAGATGAGCAGTGAGGGCTGGAGGAATTGTTTGATTGCCTGGCAGAGGCCTTGTGTGAGACATGAATCAATGTCTGGTTTTGAAAAGTTACAATATGCTGGATGACAGATGGCTAAAGACAGTGGAGCACAGGGAAACTGATRTTGTTGGCCAAAGAGGTGCTACTGCTTTGATTATCTTGTATTTTATCTTGATAATCCCAGTGAAGTTTTTCTGGGTATTYTAGTGGAGGAAGATTTTATGGAAGGGGCTGAAGGACAGCTCCAGTAAGGTGGCTTGATGGGTTTTTAGGAGCAGCATGTCTCAGCTGTGAGGGTAGAGAAAGTGGGGTGTGCTTGCTTTGAACATCAAAGAGTTGGAATCCTGTGCTGAGGACAACACTTCAACTCTGAGTGAGAGACCACAGACAGGGTGAGGATGAGCTGTGACCTGTACTGAGAACTGAGAAAAGGACAGGACATTACATAGGAAGGTGTCATAAGCAAGTGGCCCCCTTGGCAGCAGTGGTCTAAATGGCTTTGGGCAAGGCCAGAGGACACCTGTGCCAGTGTCAGAAAGAAGAATCACATCAGCAGTCCAGATGGAGAAGGGCTGAGGCAGTGACTGCTCYATTCACTCACTTCTTACTCATTGCATTAGTTTGCAGCACTCCTGGGCAGTGTGTTGGTTCTGGCCTGGAGGACCTAGAATTAAGGGTAGCTTTATTTACAAAAACGTGGTTTTAATCAGACAAACTACTAATAATTAACCACTAAGTTGGACATTGAGCCTTTCTCTGGTATTGATGGTTCCTGAGCAATTACTCATTGTGTCACCCTTGACTTCTGAGTTATCTACTAACTTCATGTACAATGAGACAACAWAATCATTGCAGTCACCCTACTGTCCCCTTTTATCTACTGTTCYTTAAGAGTACACATGATAAAGCAAATCCACTTCCAGCCTTAGAGTAGCACCATCCCCACGTGTCCTTGTCACACCTCAACMTTTCTAAAGCAACAGGGCAATCACTCTCCTCAGGAATGGTCCTCTTTGTGCCTCGGATGTTGTGGTTTACCTTAGAATGAAGATTCAAAGTTTCTTTGGGGTTTTGTGGCCAGCCAACTGCCATAACACAGACAATGTGGGAATGTGGGAAAGAAAGAAGCAAAAGAAAGAGTTTGGAAAACCTGCAGGCTCTGCAGGCTGGAAATTGGTAAAAGGAGTCCTGGGGACTCAGAAAGACCAGTGCAGCATGTGGTCAGCGAAGCTGCCAGACACTGCAAATTCCCAGGCCTGGGGTATTGCTGGTGTCATGGGCCCCCTTGCCAGGTGGCACATGAGGAAAAGGGAAAAGTCTGCTTTGGCTTTTGTGGGACCAGCCATTGCTGGTATTTGGCAGGCTTGTTCTCACAGGTAAGATCTGTTGCACCAAAATAGTATTTTTAGCGGGTTCATATGAGTTTGTGTCTGTTGGTGTGCACTGATCAAGGCTGTAGTTTCTGAACAATGGCTGTGGCATCCTGCAGTGACTCTGTGACTTCTCTGTTATCTCCCCTTTGATCTCTTTCTTGGGTTTTCCTCTCCACCCTTTTCCTGAGCCTGTGCAGCTTCCCTTTGGTGAAGCCTTTTTGGTCACTGCTTTGGTTTGGGATACTGTGCAATAGCACTGAGTTAATAAATAACTGCGTGTCATCAGGGATTTTGTCCCAAGACCGCTTGAGGGTGGGAGGGGACTTTTATCCCAAGCATCCACCCAGGACTCTGAGCCGGGCAGAGCGAGGGGAAGGAGCTGCTGTTTCTTCTCCCCTGAGCTATGTCAGCTGCCCTGGAGACGTTCTGCGGCTCCGTCTTCTGGGTGAGTGGCTGTATCATCCCCTTTGCCTGTTCTCGGGGTGGGATACTCAGTGGAGGGTGAGAGCAGTGGATTCCAAGGGTCACAGCTTGTCCTGCCAGTGGGGCCCAACTGCCAGTGGTTGGCAGAGGTTCTGGTGTTTATCCAGGAGTGCYGTGGCACTGAGCACTGTGCTCTGCCTGCACCGTGTTCACCAGATAATGAGGCAATAGCACCTTCCTGCGTGAGCTCTGTCCTRTTTTAGCCCAGCTGGGAACACAGGAGACCCTGTATGGACTTGCTGGGGAATGATTTGAGTTCAGCTGCTTCTGCTGGCTTGGTTCCGGCAAGGGWTGGTTGTGAGGGAGGCCATCCCACATTCAGGCAGAGACGTGGGGAGACGGATGTTATTTGGGTCTTGGCTGAGTGCTGAAATGCTCAGCCAGGAGGGTGGGTATTGGAGTGGGGAGGGGGACACGATGGGGTGGAGCGGGGTGGGCAGTACCTATAGGAGTGTTGGCTCTTGTCCTGTGTGCCAGGTGAGAGTCCAGCCATCCCAGGTGACTCGGTGTTCTGTCCTTGCTGCCCCCAGAATGATTCCTACCTCGCTCGTCCGGATGCCGACCTGCCTGTGTGCTTCCAGCAGACTGTGCTGGTCTGGGTCCCCCTTGGCGTCTTCTGGATTTTGGCACCGTGGCAGCTCCTGCCCATGTGCAAATCCAGAGCCAAGAAATCCTCTGTGACCATACTCTACATCATGAAACAGGTAGTGTGGAGCTAAGGGGGCACAGATGACCGGCTGGAGCAGCTTGAGGTGTAGGTGGTATGAGTGGAAGGGCTGCACTACAGTCAGGTGTGGGATGGAGAGATGAGAAATGTGGCCAGAAAGGAGATCATCTGGGACAGAAATGTCAAGGGGATTCTGCACAAGGCATATATGGGACAGGGGATAACAGGGCTGGCAGACACTGGGAGGGAGGGCAGAGTGTGTACTGAGGCCTCTCATCTTGTGGGCTGTTAYCTTCCAAACTTAAAACGATGGCAGTGCTCCTGTGGAACTCTTGCAGCTTCACAGGATTGAGAGCTCTCCCTGGCCAAGTCTGGGTTGAAAAGGCTGTAAGGGGTGTATGGGTGTATTTTATGCCAAACTCTGTTGCCTCCCAATGTTTCCCACCATCCACAATGGGCTGGCCCCCTCTCCCCACAGATTCTGGCTACGCTGCTGGTGCTGACGGCAGTGGCGGAGTTGGCCCTGACATTTGTGGAGGATGCCGAGCAGGAGGCSGTGCCAGCTGTCCAGTACACGAACCCCAGCCTGTACATCGCCACCTGGGTAAGGGCTCAGCCGCTGAATGTCACCTGCTSTGTGTCACCAGGGACAGGGTGACACCGCAGCACCAGGCAGCACAGGACACCCCTAGCACAGAGAGTAGTGGGGAGCTGTGTCCATGAGGGAAGGGTAGCCTGGAAGTTGGGTAGGACTAGCCCTGAACATGTGTGGGTGCTGCAGGAATGCGACATGTTGTGGATAGGTGTCTGGTTGTACACTGCTCCCTGCTGTTATCCTTAAAGCTGGGATGGCTCTGTGCCTGCCAGTGTAGCTGAGCTCTCTGACAGAAGCTTTGTGAGGAGCAGTGTGGGTTTTACGGGACTGATTTCGCAGTGTGAACATCAGACCATGGCTTGCTGCTCTGATGTCTCACGGCTCTCCATGCACTGCTGCTCAGTTTTGTGCAGAGAGCCAGGAAGTACCATGGATGTCCAGGCAGAAGAGAAAGTGAGGACCTAGGGGCTCTCAGCTTGATGGAATATGAGCGTTTAAGTTACAGATACCTTGTGTAAGACATGGGATATTGTAACAGTCTGAGCAAATGCTCAGTGGCTACACTTAAAAGCAAAAGTAACACTCATTTGCTATCCTTGTTATTTTGTCATGTCATTTAATTTCACATGCAGAGTCCATGTGAGATGATTAGGCAAGGGGGCTGTCCTGGGAGGCTGCACTGCTGGRACGTGATCAGTTCCAGCTCTGGAGGCAAT